TGAGGTCTTTTTCCAACATTAATGATTCTATAAATTCATAACTTAAATTCAGTACTGGAGGAGAGCTAACTCTAGAGATTGAAATTCCCTACTCTCGTATAAATTAAAAGGCAGGGAATTGACCAAGATGCCTCAGCCCTCACATACTGACATGAATTTATGAGGTAAGAGGAGACAAAGTTAATTCTCCAGTTATCACCTGAGTACATATGTCTATCAAAGTGTTCCTCTATTCCTTTGTCTTCTGGTGAATATTTGCAACAGTGGCTTCTTTTCATGGTTTATTTTCGTTAAGTACTGCCTTTAAAACACAAGCTTTCCAAGGGAGACTAAGGCAAAAAGTATTCACATACTTAACTTCCAAGCCCTGTTCAACCTTGCTTTCATAAAAAAAAAAACACAACACTACCCAATTAAAGAATAAATGATTCGGAAGAAGAGTGATTCTGTTAAACTTGTTTCTAGCTAGTTTTTGTGCTATATTCAACCTAACACTCCCTAGCACCACATAATTGCCCACCTTATTTCTTCCTCTAATATTTCGTTCTTCTAAATTTACAATAAAGAGGGTGAGGAATGGCGTGTCAGAAGGAAAGCAAAGAAGCAGAACTTCAGGTGAAGACTACTGATGGATTACCATTACGGGTAATTCATAAGCTGAATTTGTTTCCTCTTTATTATGGAATAAAGATCAATTGAGGGGAAACTATAAATTAATAAAGTTCAATTAATAACTGAACTTAAATAGTTCAGTTGGAAAGCACCTGGTTTCCGAGTGATCCCAAGGAAGAGGATGGGAAGTAAAAAATTTTTTCCATACAAACCACCCTCATCTTGCTAATTGTCTCTCAACCAGCAAAGACTCGATGCCTTAACATGACACTACATGGAATTCAGAGTGAAAAGATGCATTTGATACCAAACCGTGGTGATTAGCAACCCATTTTCTTTTCTTTTTTTTCCAACATTAAGGATTTTAATTCCTTCCTAAATGCTACTAGAATATGAGGATGCATAATATACCCAAAGGAAACATATAGTGTAGTCTTTTCTCAGCTACCTTTCCTGGGAAGCCATTCAGGAGTATACCGAAGGCTTCTAGCATTGTTCAGAGGATGCAGGAGGAGCAAGGGATCCCCCTAAAGGAAAAAAGAACAAGTAACAGCGGGATGGCCACTTCACATGCTTGCTAGCTTCAGGTACTCATTTAGGACTAACTGGATTTGTACTGGGGCTACTCAGCTTCTCTTGAGTTCAAGGCACCATAACCTGGACTGCACTGAAGGGGCAAGTGAGCAGAATAAGAAACCTCAAGCATCGTGTGTAAAAAATAAAGGGAGCAAGAGACTAGTAGAGATAATGTAACCACTATACCTCTAGAAGTTCTCCATTTTTAAGCCACGAGATTGTTGGAGGTGGCACAGCATCAGATTTGCATTCCAGTATAACTTGTCTGTTCTGCAACACAGTGAGGTCTTGTGGACCGCTGGTACCAGCAATGTTAGGAGGAACTGTTAGAAAAATTAAGAAAAAAAATAAGCATAACACATATGAGCTACAATTAAAATTATTTATTGAAAATTTCCAATTTATGTCTCAAGTTTAAAATAAATGCAAAGCTACAGTATACCCACGTTAAATATATCACATTTGTACTGGTGAACTTGTTTCTTAAGTCACACACTGGAAACTACTGTGACAGAAATTAGAGTCTATTCTCAGTGAGAGTACCAGCATTTAAGCCAGACAGAGCAGAGATCACCAAAGTTCCATAAATTGTTCATCAATAAACATGGGGGCTATAATCTTCAAGAAGAAATGCGAGGCATATCGTAGAACTGCAGAAGTCACATCTATACTTCCTTTACTCTCACTGCATTTTATATATTCATTTCTAAATACATTTCTGACCTTTTTCTGCTCAAAAACTAAGATGATCATAGATACCAGTATACTTCACATCCTTTTTCAGCAAGCACAATAAACTCAATCCAACTGAATACTGATATCCATAAGCTTCTAGATATTCAAAATACAAGACTTGGAATTCCAACAGACATCAGTCGCATCAGGTGGAACTTTCCCTTTTAATTGCGTATCATGTTCAGAATAGTTACCGTTATTCAGAAATGTTAATTATGATCATAGGGTGTAATATCACTTTCACAAAACACATAATATTTCTTCTTTAGTAATATGTGACTTGTTAAATAAGGTACTGATACATACCTTAGTGGTTTACAATTTGAAGGAATAATTTTATTTTTTCCTAAATTAAACTTACCATGCACTCTTACTAAATATTCCTTATCATCATCTCCTGCTGGGCTAGATGCCAAACACGTGTATCTGCCTGTGTCCTCCACCTAGAAACACATGAACAACTTCAGCAGAAACCTCAGAATATGGGAGCAGTTCAGAAAAACTGTAAAATACAAACATTGACAATAACATGTAACAGGCAGCACTTCAAGGTAAACACAATAGATAAGGAATGCTTGAAAATAAAGTAATAGAGTTCTTGAAAACTCCTTTATTTTACCACGGTGGGATTGTACAGAGATGGCTTAGGAATTGCAAGACCCCATAAAATCTCTCTGGGAAACTTATCTCCAGCAAAGACCCTTCTCTTTGTGATGCTTTTTGCAACAGGTAATGAGTAAAGATGGAACTAACTATAGGTATCCATCTAAGCAAGGGCGTGCGTACGAAGAAACTCTCTTTGTGCACTCATACTCATTAATACCTTTATTCTTTCTCCTTCCTGTACACTCCTCATTGTAAAGACAAATAGCATTTGCTTTACAAACCAGACAAGCAGACCCGAGCCCTGTCCCGCTTCAGTCTGGCTGTCCATAACTGAACACAGACTTAGTTTATTGATGTAGGTTTGTGAAAGTTATTTTTCCCTGGACTCTTTTTTTGACTAAATTATCCTGAAAGTCTTTGTGTTGTCTTTATTTATTTTTTCTTAACTTATACACGGAAGACTGCAAATGCAGCTTTTCTCCGTAATCTATGGCTTATACATGTGAGAAGCAAAAAAGTATTAGGAAAATCTGAGCTCATGGAAAAAGAAGAAAGGTTTTTTGATAAAATTCAAAAGAAGAAAAGCAAGGGATAGTAAAAAGAGTCAATTAGGCAGGAAATGAACAAGAACAGATTACAGATGCAGACTAAACCCAGAAATAAACCCAGAAAAAGACAGGAGACCCTAGCATTGATTGTTCTGCTTTATATCAAGAAGTACAAATAAAGAAATGACAGAACTCTGAAATGAGTTTGAAGTAATAACGCTCATAAGAGGCAGAAGTGCTTGGGTACTCTCCACCGCCAATACCAGAGCTTGTTCAGTATGGGAAAATACCTTCTGCAACTGCAAATGCCGGTGGATGCTTTTATAGAGGCTTTTTAGGACATCTCTTAGGATGGTTCTATGAGCAGGCAGTTCTGCACACTCCTCTAGGGTCTGCAAAACTGAGTCTATTTTGAAACAAATACTCTACCTGAGCGCTGGTTATTCGAAGGACATCTCTTAGGACGTGAACATTATTATTCTGCAAAAGCGGGCGGCCATCCTTCATCCATGAGATTTTGGGGACTGGAATGCCAGAAGAGATGCAGAGAAGCTCAAGAGGGTTGTTAACGATGACAGAGAGCTCTTCTGGTTGCTCTGAGCCATTGATGTGAGGCGGCTCTGTGGAATGAAAAACATTCAAGTTCTTTATTGACTCAGAAAGCCTATAAAACCTGCTACACAGCCTTGTGGTTAGAGCTGGTAGAATTAGTCTAATTAGTATTATTTCTGACCATGTAATGAACTCACAGAGTATCTCATGTAATTTCTGTCTGCCTCTATTAATTTGCATTTTTTATGAGTTGGAATTATTAGTTAGAAAATGTTTTCATAATCCCAGGTAAAATATATAATATCACTGAAGATTTTTATTAGCCCTTTAGCTATACCTTCAGCTGTGCCATCATCCTGTCAAGCTGAATTTCTACCAACCAATGTTATTTACTTAAACCCAATTACTTTGTAAATTAGTTTACTATTAATTATATCATATTTCAGGACTCCTGAAAAGTTAGGAAAAAATATATACTATATTACACATTCACACATCTTTAGGTATCTTCCATTTCCTTATTTCTCTTATTTATCACAATAAATATTTCTTGAAAATGCTCTTTATCCCTAGAGATTTTTTTAATTGTTGTCCTGAATAGATACTCATTTACTGCTTGCATTTTGTTCACCTGAAAGGTTAACACTTACCCAGCACTTTTAGGGAAAAGTGCTTGCTGATATCTCCAGCTTCGTTGGAGGCTACACAAGTGTATTTGCCTGTGTCACCAATCTCTGCTTTCACCAAGTGAAGGACCATCCCTTGGTTACTTGATGTCAGGTGAGCTCCAAGGCTTAAAGGATGTTCATTCTTAAACCAGGACATCGTAGGGGCAGGAGTGCCATCAGTAAGACACTTCATCAAAGCTGAACTGCCTTTTACTACAGTCACATCCTCTGTTCCTCCTGCGTTATCCAAGCTTGGTGGCACTGCCGAGAAACAAAGATCTGATTAATACAGAATACAACCCAGATGTTAATTCTGAATATAAAAAAGTTAGAATGCAGCTATCCTTCTGCATTTTCCCACTTACATTCATGTTTAACATGTGTTAAAATTCACTTAGAAATTATATATTATTATTCTTTCTAAAAAAACCTGTGACACATTCTGGGTGCCAATTCAAATAAGGACTCTTCTAAGGTTAAAATACTTTCCATTGAAAAAAAACCACGTTGAAAAGTTAATGTTTCCCTGATGATTAGCTACGTAAGATATACTTGTGGCTGTCTGCAACTTTGTGTCTGTGAGAAAGAAAACTGAATATTAGGTTCAAGAAATTAAGAAATAAGATTCTTTACATAAATCATTTCAGAAAAACTCACCAAGAACTTGAAGGTTGTAATGTTTGTTGTCCACTCCAGCCCTGTTAGATGCTATACAAGTGTACACACCAGTATCAGGTATCTGCACTCGGGCAAGTCTAAAGAGAGAACAGTTTTAAGCAAGCTGTAATAAATTATCTTTATTATGGCATGGTCTGGATCAAATTTTATTCTTCATTCCAAAAATACTAGCAGAATTATGTTGATATAGTAAAAGAGAACAGAAAACTCAGCTAGTTAAAATAGATGAAAACCAACCTGAGAATTTGCCCAGCTGACAGCAACCTGATTTGGGAGGAGACAGACAGAGGAAGGCCATTCTTTAGCCAGTTTATCTGTGGTGGTGGGGTTCCAGTAGCAGTACATTCAATATTTAGGGAGGTGTCCAGAAGGGCAGTGAGGTCCTCTGGTTCATCTTTATTATGGGCTATTGTTGGAGGAACTACATTTTGTAAATGTTGAAAAGGAAGATATTAAAACTGGCTCTTATAATCATTCGACATGTGTTACCTTGCAGGAAACCCTGCACCTAATGCCTCATAGGCAATTCCGTGAGAAGATCCCCATTTTTTCAAACAGTAAATCCTCTAACAATAACACTGAACACTAATAAATACCCATTTACATATTTAAAATCAGATGCACTTTAGAATGATAGTAGAATTCTCTCTTTGATTTGTCAGGCTGTGGCAAACAAGAGGGGGCTCAGAGCCCAAAGCTCATGGGGAGAGAATGACAAGTGGTCAAGCCTCAGAGGGGATG